TTTCCCTCCATCTTTTCCCTCCATCTTTTCCCTCCATCTTTCCCCCATTGAACAGCATATATCGCCGTCTTCTAAGAAAGCAACAAAAACGCCGCCCTATTGCACCTTATAATCCACCATAAAAGCATTGTGTAGCTGGTAACCGCGTCTCATGTAAATATAGTAGTCAGTTAGAGTCGATATCTTCCATACCAATGTCTTCCATGTCGTTGTCCACATCAATGTCATACATGTCAACATCTTCCATCTCAATGTCATCCATGTCAATATTCTCCGGATCAACATCATCCAGATCAATGATCCTTATATCCGATTCGTCTCGGTTTCGGCGTTCACGCTCTTTATCCATCCAATAGACGATGTGAGCAGTGAGTTGTTGAAGCTGTTGGCATAGCCTAAAATCCGTAGGTCAATATCAGGAGCACCTGCACAGGGAACTTTTACGAACCAGCATAATAACCTCAAGCCCCTAAGCATGTAGACAGCGAAACGATATATTTCATGGCTTGAGATAGTGTTATCCGGCATTTCGAGGTGTTGGTGACAGCTCCGCAATATGTATCTAGTTATTCTCGGATAAGATGATTGCTAAGATAAAACAGGTGTCTCAATGCATCAACTGGACTAATATTGGACTACTTGAACGGAATGTCCCAAGTATTAATACTTCATATAATAATAGACATCTCGTCTAATCTCAGGGTGTCGCCTCATGTTCCGATGGCAAAGCTAGTTCGCAACTAGGGTTTGGACCCGGGATATCGGACAACCAGTACTAGCGGGAGATAGTCAAGTAGAAGAGATGATCACAGAGCGTCTTTGGTTGCCGCAATGGTAATTTTGGCATTAGATGGTGCCATGCGTCAATCCCGCATTGCCCTTAGCATATGCCACCCGGTACAGGAGCTGAACTAAAGGATAAGCCAAAGGAGCCAAGTTTTGATCATATTACGGAGCTGTCTGTCGAAGATAGGGGCTCGAGTGCCAGGACTGTTGCCGCTATGTTCGTGCCCTTAACGACATGATGAACTCCGTTCGCCTTGACTCTCTTTCTCTCGGTAATGCTTGCTAGTTGGCGTTTTCTGCCAATGTCATAGCATGTGGACAAGCCTATGTGCATGGGATGACCAATCTCAACTCATTTCTACCGCCCCTTTGCTAGCTTTGTTTTCGCCTTGCAGTCTCTCGGATCGTTGTTCTCTCAGGGCACGCTGGCAGATCCTGGTGTGTCACTGTAGACGACAAACAAAAGGCTCCTCTTACGAGATCCGCAGAGATCTCAACACCCCCCTTCGCCGCCTGTCACTCATATCATTGTAGCCCACTGACACGCCGACTAGCCCACTGGGACCGGGGAAAGCTTATTAGGCATGCCGGCATGCAAATCACTTTGTGAGATAGACATTTGCGTTGCGGAGAACTGAAAAGCTCATGTACATCAGGTAGGTTGCGTCTTTACCTGGTACCAAGGGGAAAACCCCCTGCCGTTAAAACTGCCGTTAAAAATCTGTAGGAGTAAGCGCAGCGAGGGGTGTCAGTACGCCGACTGTACATCTTCCGCTTCTTCATTTCAGAGAAGGGCAAATGTACATGCGGTCGTGTTGTCTTAATGCTGTTGGTCAGCACAAATTTCACCTGCACTAGCTTGACACCCTTGTACGTACCCAGTACATTATCATCCATCAGCAACTACATCGAAGAAGCGGATGGGGAAACGGCAAAAGGCCATCGATACTCTCCTTCGGGTATTCCGCGATGCATTTTTAGCTGGAAGAAAACAAGCCATCTGTTTGACCCCTGCAAAATGGCTTGGAGCCGGAGACATGGGGTCCCTGTCCATTTTGACTCCAGTGTGCCACAAGCCAGCGCGGCCCGGGCACTCGGTTCACGGGGCGGGTTGGGCTGGGCCGGGGTACGACAGGAACGGATCCCCGGTCGCGGCGTTCGCATGAACTTGATGGCGAGAAGACAAAAACGACAAGAGAGAGAGACGAGGATGGAAGATGGAAAAGGCCAAAAGGGAGATGAAAGAAAACGTGCTATTTGCCCTCCCCCCTTACTCGGCTCCACCAGGCCAGTTCGGCGGCCTTGGAGGCCGCACTGAAGAATGGGCGGCATCCCAGCTTCCCAAATCGGCCAATGTCAAGTCCGCCTTGCGCTGCCTAACTGGAGGGCGGGAAGAGGTGCCCCATAGCGCTCAAGCAGAGAGTTATCTCGATCAAGCGTTCGACATACGGTGTAGTCTCTGGAGTCTTCTGCCTTTTTTTTTTGTGGGATTTCTGAGCTTCTTAGTCGTCCACTGCTCTTACATCCCGATGAACTGGATTTAATCTGAATTAGACTCGGCTGTAAAACGTGTGCTTAACGCTATTACGGCCATGCCGCGTGGGTCTAGGCTATTGTTTCAGTCGTCGTGGGGTTGTGTGCTTCTCAGACTTCAGTTGAAGTGTTTGAGCGTACAGTAGTGGTGGTAGCAGACCAGCCGAAACACTCAAAAAGGGGGAAGAAGGGGGATGACCTAAACACAACACGAGTACACTCATCATTCACTCTCTTAAACAAAAACTAAATTACTGCACACACATGGACCGCCTTCTGCATATGTTGTTCTCCACTCCTACCAGACAAGCCGCACCTTCACAGTTTGCAGCCTCCTCAGTTGGTGGGCTAACCAGGCTTTCCACAAGGCCTCTGACAGTGGAATCTTGACACAGCTCTGCCTTTGACCGATTTTTTTCTTCTTTCTTTTTTTTTTTTAAACCCCTAAGATCTCCACACACACTAGATTGGCAGCCTTGTCAGAGCCTGGGAACACGTAGCCAGCGCACGAGACTCCACAGACGTTTTATGAGCGGGCAGAATAGATTACGTCTTGCCCCCTTTTGCGTAGCTCCAGATACCGAAGGGAAATCATTGCTAATAGCAGCAGTTGGACGATTCTTGTGTCGCCCCTTTCTCTTGTGCCACGTCAAGCGTCTTCTAGTATTAAACCCAGTGGGAGTCTGTTGTACCATGACATGTGATATCTATAAAAGAAAAAGCTCTTCGGTAAGGAGTAATGCCGGCTATGATCGTGCGTGAATCTGTCAAAAATATCAGTCGCGGGTGCCGTCGCGATCGCGTATACCGTCGGACTACCGAGGACACGGTCATAATTAAAATTAGAATATGAGCTATCAAGTCCACCCGGACGCTTCGTGCCCATATTGCCTCCGTAATATACGAAGCATTCTTGTCGGTATATTACATTTTGGGGCTAGTCAATCAGACCACCCTCCTCCATGAGGCACAACCTTATGATAGATGAGCTGCACTTAGCTCATATAGGGAAATGGCATGACTGTTACTAATGCGGTTGTACAAGGTATAGGCCATATGCGAGATGCCCAAGATTAATCACAAGATATGACCACGTGGGCGGAATTTGGATGCCTCACCAGGGGTCCTAGGAGGAGGAGAGTGAATCCTCGACATCCGAGTGAGACATTGACGGTCCGCCTCTCTTACCCCAGATATTGCATACTCGTACGATTACATAAACAGAACAAACAAGGCAACCTGAAGCTATTAACTGTTTAGCTCCACGTATTTCGTGGGACACAATATCGCACCAATCATGAAGATGTGTAGAGAATCAGAATACGCCTATTCTACCCCATACTCGTTCCCATGGTTGCTGTCAGTATGCTGTCAGAATTTGCGTTCAATAGAACCAGTTGGAAAAGAGCTAACGAATGGCAAATTGTATGCTGGGCATCTTGGAATTTTCTAGAGACGGCACTGGCTTGGAGTTTCAGCCTCGTCGAGTCACCTATTAAAACGGTCTTTCGGTGTGCCATGCTGCAGAAGGCCTAGCGTTTCATATTCCGCTGTATATATGCAGGGGCGTTAATTATGGGCCATTTCTCCATCCCTGTGTACTCCATGTTTGTCTGCTGTACAAATTTGAAGTAGCGTCAAAGTATCCCTACATGCCAATGTGTCAAATAGGCACTTCTACCAATTCATCCTACTGGCAATTAAATCATGGAGGCTCTGTGCAATAGACTGCGGGCCGCGAACTAACACTACGAAGGACGTCTACCTAGGTACCTAGCTACAGGTACCGATTCAGCAACGCGCGGGACACAGCGCCAAGAGTCTTGTCAGCAATGCATCAGGCACGCATAATCTCGATCTACGATACATAGGTGGGTAGGTCCAATAATTGGTCAGCAATGGTAGAAGTCAAGTAGGTATTATACAGTATATATGTTGTGTAATATCTGCGCAAAACAGGAGAAAAAAGGAAGTATTCGATAGCGGAAGAACCTCCCATCATTCTCCCTGGTCTCTGGGCAGGACCTCGCCCAATTTCTGCCTTGAGCCTTAACTTCCATACGATACAAGTACTTTAACAGCTTATCAAGACCAGGTTTAACCTGGCAGCTACGGTACATCAGCGATGAACAGGAAATACCAGTAGACTGGACACGGCGTTGGAGGAGCTAAGAAATAAACAGTAAATGCGGTGATCAGGGGGCCATGACAGATCCGCTGTGGGTCGGACGCCTTATTCATAGCGAGGCGGCTCACGTTGCGGGCCTCCCCGTGTGGTACCTACATGTACTTCATAGTGGATCTGGGACCGGGGTTGCACTATCGTGGTCGCCTTGCCGACTCGAGGGCATCCATGGAGAACACGCGGGAGAATGCCGTCGAGCAGCTACCAGGAATAGGCGCGGAGCATGGGCGCTATTATTGTGCCACAAGCTGGGGTTGTTTTTGGCTGTTTTTCTCCCGCTCGACCAAGGTCCAAGGAGCTAAGAGTGTCACTTATCTCTCCAGTACTTCCCGCGATATGCAAATGCGCAGCCGAGCTTCATCAATTGTTGCTCGTATCGTGCGATGCTAAGACTTCGGGTAGTCCGGCGGAGACAGCTAAAAGAGAGAATGCCTCGTTCGGTCCCAATCAATACAGACAAGCTCAATACAGCGGTCGCTTCGTCCTGGAAGACGCTATATGCGGCCGAGTAGGCGGCCTACCTGCAGGCTGTAGTCAGCCCAAACCTGCCCGGAGGCAGCAATCTACATGTTTGTGGCAGCACCTGGCCCTTAATTTCAATACCTACCAATCAAAAAGTACTGCAAAAGATTTCCGTCCTTGGCATTCCCAAAGGCAGCACATGTCTCTGGCCCTCCTCCCCACTTCAATGCTACCCACCGCAGCCTCGACGAAAATACGAGCCACAAGTCACGACTGAATGTCTACTTCCACTGCTTGCCAAGTAAGGCATTTTTGGTAGCTAAGAAGGTGGTGTGTTGTTGGTTGCGCAAATTCATTTTGCTTGAGAGGGATGGCATTCGCCCTCCTCCTTGACCTGATAACGGGACTGCGGCACATGAGGCACAGAAACCGCGGGGCCAGGTAGAATTGAACATACAAAAAGAGCACATTGCCTAACGTAGCCGTGCAAATCAGCCTCTCCTCCACCAGCCAACCCCCTTTTCTCCTCGTTATTGGCGCCTTTGTGCTGCCGATTCCAGAGGCTTCCAATGGATCCATGCGCCCGTTAACTAGCCCTACACCCGCCTTCTACGAGTTCAGAGCATGACTTATGCATTAAATCTCTTTTCTAGCATCAGAGATTGTAATGAGAGTGAATAACAGTGTATCAATCACGCTATTTGGGGCATTCTGCCTGGCGTGAGTGCAGCGCGCTCCGCGTTAGCTGTTGAAATTCCTGACATTAAGGGGGCCTGTTCACCATCTCACAAATTGCGATCGGGCTTGAATAAAATACAACAAAGCACTTGAAGAAAGTAAGAGTTGGAATACAAAATATTATAGATAGGTACTAGGTAGGCAACTAAAGCGGAATGATTTGGTAGTACTTGATTATTACGACGTAGGTAAGTAACCGCCAGTGTTGGTCTCCCTCCCTCCCTAAAGTCACGCCTCTAGTATTTTCAGTTTCGGGCCGTAGGAATTGTTTGTTGAGCTTCACACTTTCTCTTACCCTTGTCCTCCTTTGCTCCCTCACCTTCAGCTGCCGTATAAGCGTTTCCTCAACAAAGTACGCTCCGCCATACTGCTTTCATTTTCTTCAAACCCGTCATATTGTCCATCTAGTTCGTCTATTTGTTTATTAGGTCTATTCTTCTGTCCGCGACTTTCACGTATAATCTCTCACGGGTCAACTTTCCTCGACCGCTCTCTACCTACAAGCGCCAACACGTTCTACACCTACATCTTCTGTGTACCCTCTCTCCAAATGACGACGCGAGTTCTTTTTGGAGACATTACACAATATTACCTGCGCGCTACACGCGTACCCGCTGTTCGACATAGATGAGACCGCCAATGTACCCTACGATTCGAACCCGCTCGATTTCCTTCTCTTTGCCGGCGTTTTCAGAGGACGGCCGTTCAAAGATGTGGACAAATTGGACACGATCAGGCACGAAGAGGCCATGAAGATGGGTCTATCGTTGACGATACGATGTTCATACAACAAGGGAAAACCAGAAGCTTGACATCCGCAAGAGAAAGAAGACTGGATGGGCGGTCCTCAAATATGGACTTTTATATTGTGCCTAATTTTTTTCTTTGGGGAGATCAAAGAGGCCAATCACCTCCTCAATGTACCATCCTCCCAAAGAGAAATAGGAGTAAGATGTTGACAGGTACAAACAAACCTTCCGAGACTAAAGCATACTAACGCGTACGGCAACGCTGATACACACGACTTTGATAGAGCGCGATGAACGAGTAAAACGATCGATACGATTTCAAGACAATCCAGATTTGTTTACTTATATCAACGATCGAGCAATAGTCTACAAAGACGCGGTTTCCGAATTTTCATCCCGAGCGTCATAATTGTACCATCTTGCTCGAATATTATACATGGCCAAGCTCGCGGTGCCCGTAGATTGCAATTCCTTATCCTTCTCTTTTCGATCCTCACGATATTTAAAATCTCTCCTACCATATGTATCGAAAACGAAACAACCCGTACGAGTACAGTCTCGCGTGCTCTGCCAGCTTCGACAACACCCGATTGCCTCGACACGGTTCTTCAGCCGAGCTCTCTTGCGATTACCGCAAGAGATTCTAATATGTATTTTTGATTAGATACATATACCTCGAAGATAATCCAACGAAAAAATACTAGTCCAGTCTTCTACGATAACCTCTACTATAGTCCTCTCCTCAGCGGCGTTGAAAAAAAGAGCCCACAGTCACGATACGTACGTTACGCGAAATTGTATTGTTTGTAAAACATGATTGCGATTATCAATATTAAGGCTGCTTGAGTATAATGTGGTAGTGGCATGAAGCATTAGATAAGGGTAATTTTGAAAGCGCATTGCTTTTCATGATGCATTAGGGGGCAGGGTTGCAAAGCATTCTCTAGTTCTGCCCAAAAAAATCCAAAAATTCCTTCCATGCATGTTTTTTCCTCCGATCGTAGTGATAAACTATCTTTTTTTTCTCTTCTTCTTCTTTTTTTTTTTTTTTCTTTTGTTTTGTGCATGCTCAAGCAGTATACGCGAGAATGTTTCCCGTCTGGCGATTGTCTCTTTTCTTGTGGACGGCCGCGTAGTCTTCAACTTTCTTGAATCCATGCGGGCGACACCTCCTTATTTGGGGGAGTTATCGAGAGACTGGTTAGTTGTATACACCCAGTCCATCGGAACAGTGCTCCCTGAAGCTGTAATTTCGGTTGCGTCGCGGGTATGAGGACTTGATTCAGATCTGTTGATTTCAGCGAAACTCATCTTGAATGGGTCTTACTGGAATAGAGCGTACTAACCTGTCATCTCTTAAGACCAAGAGAATCTTATCAGAATTCTCTATCCGCTGTATTGAGCAGATAGCAGTTGTGTCCCGTGTTGGGCCAAAAACACACACAAGGTGTGGTAGGGCTGCAGGTAATGAGCCATGCCTTGTAAGGTGAGCGATCTCGCCCTCATTCGTCTGATAGAAGAACATGATGATCTTCGAGGAGCTTCGCAAGCTTGTCGACTGGGAGAAGTAGGGAGAGAGGGAGAAGGAGATAATGGCTATTGTGAAAAGTTCAACATTGTGGCGGGCTTGTCGACGCGCTTTTTATACTAATTTCGCCATGCAATAGTATCGCCCCTATCCTGGACTGTTACAAATGCTTGATCCCTACCCCGAGAGAAGTTTTGTCTTGTTGTAATATGACCAGTACGCTCTGCCGCTGCTGCATCTATAGCAGCCTATCGCATCGCATTAATTGGTGGCCAGCCCTGCCCACTTGTGCAGGGGCCTGAGAAGCTGCTTTTGCCTGATATTTTGGGGCTTGACAGAGCGCGAGAGCCTCTCTCAACCAGCAATTGTTCTATCAAGGAAGCTAAAATTGGTAAATCTTTTGTCATCGCTTGCCGAAACATAGAGCACTATTTGTGAGTTTCTCCAACGAGAAAGACCTTCTCAATCTTGCAAATCGTGGCCAGCTTTATTTCTCGCCCGTTAGGATGAGTCTAAGAGGAAAGCCACCCCTGTCAAGAGCTGATGCAAGTCAATACAAAACTGGACGCGCAGTGTCACAGAATTAGACTACAGGTTAGGCCCCAGACACTGCGTCAAGACAAAAAGCAATAGCTTTCGGGAACAGCCATGCAGTCATCTGCCGTTCGCTGGGATCACATGAGTACTTGTAACGAAGAAGTATTGCAAGCATGCGGCATCCTTCGAGATACACAAGCAATACAGACTCAGATACGTCGTCAAGTGCTTAACATCACGTACTGTCTCAGTCTCTTCCAGCCATGCCTTACTCCAGTACCCCGTAGACACTTATCTATCCTCTTCTCGCCTGCGATTCCTACCAATTTCCTATACCCCGCTGAGGTGCATCGGTCCCAGCGGTCTTTGCCTCTTGGGGCTGTCATTTGTCTTTGCTTTTTCCTTAGCTCTTCTACCCCAACAAGAGAACTGGCTCCTTGTCTAAACCTGGACCCAGGGACAAGAAACGGAACTGACATAATATTACACATATTATTTGGTAGTACTATCTATTTTTACCCAGGTAAACAAGGTAATACATCTATGTAATTCACTAGGTATTTCACTCTTCAGTGATCGACTTACACAACTCCCATTACCCTCTTCCTTCCAAAAGAGTCAAACTGCATCCCATTACACAAGCATCGCAGCAGCAGCAACAGCCAAACCTCCGAGAAGAGCAAATTCACCCCTCAATTGACCGGCATCGTTGCCCGTGTGCGAAGGCGCCGCGCCGGAGCTTGTCTGAGTGGCAGCCGAGCCTCCACCCGTCGAGCCCGCAGTCGAGGCAGTCGAGCCGCTGGTGGCGCTGGAGGGGTTCACGAAAGCACCAATGACGCCTCCTTGCTGCTGCTTGGGGGTTGTGCTCTTCGCGGCGTTGGCGGCGTTGGACCTGAAGATGTCGAGCGTCTCCGACTTGTTGGAACTACAAGACATATACTAGTCAACAACACCACTCCCATACAATAGATTGATGGTATGAAGTATAGGAATGTACTCACGAAACGTTGATTACTCCAACCATGCCAGCCTGGCAATGGCCCGGGAATCCGCAGTAGAACCAGACGGGCTTCGTGTCGTTGATGGTGATGGTGAAGGAGTTGGGCTTAAGAATGTCTGTCAGCCAAGAGCTTGCCAGCATTGACAAAAAGGGGGGAAGCTTACATTGGGGCCATTGCCATTGGTTGACATGCCAGCAAAGAAGCCGGTTCCGCCGTTGAATGCGGTGCAAGGCTCGTCAAAGGATGCTTGAACGACCGAGTGTGTAGGACCAAAGAACTGGAACTCAATCTTGTCGCCGACGTTGGCCGTGAGTTGGTCGGGCGAGTAACTCAGTGATCCGCTCTTTCCTACTGTAACTACCTGAAGAGAAGAAGCAGCAGAGACAGCGCCGACAAGGCTGCTCAAAAGGAGTGCAGGTGAGTACATCATGGTTGTGGATATGGGTAGAGAGACACTTCGAGGTTGGTCTTGAAGGAATGCTTTGTTACGAGTGAAACAACGAAACAATTCGAGAAACAAAAAGAGGATATCGTTTTATATAGCTTCGAACTAGTACCTTACCGACTTTTGAACTATCTTACCGAAGGCTGGGGGGGGGGGGGGAGGATTCGTAACACACCCCGATCTGGGACGATATCCCCGTCTCGATGCCCTGAACTTGACGCTGTTCCACCACGGTGGACGGCTCAACTAACTTCATGCGAAGGGGGACGGGCGCTTCAGCTGGATCGTGCATATTTCTATTAATAGTGTTTGTCAATAACCCAGACGGGCATTCAAGTCTTCCCGAGCCGAATGAGGCTTGCATGGGGTTCCGTTGCTTACTTGGTTACTAGATCGGGGAGTGGTTTTTGTTAGCGAATAGAAAGTGCACTTTTTAATGCAGACGGCAATTGAAATGCCGCCGCCCACTTACAAATCCACGCCAAAGTCATCAAAGGCCTAAACACCCCGACATGATGTTAGCCCGAGTGAAAGGTACCAGCGCTGAGGGGCTTGAAGAGTAAACAGTGAAGATTGTAGGACAAGCCATCTGCAGTGCGCTAAGAAACTATGGCCACCTCCGCGGCCAAGCCCTATCTTGCACTGTTGTTCTCGACCATCTCCATCTGACGTCCGGATGAGACCAAACAACATGTTCTAACCGTTTGCATAGATAGTAAATATAGATACTTTGTGTGCAGATGCATATATTCAAAGGCACTAGAACAAGGTTGCGATAGTAAGAGGTGCCGAGGTAGTAAATAGAAATCGACACACTACCATCAGTAGACTCCGAGTAGCAGAAAGGAATGGTCGTACATATATATCAAAGCGCGTCCCGTTTTCTAATGAATGATCTTTTTATTTGCTCTTGGTCTCATGAGATAATGTTGACAAACGCAGAAAAATATGGTGTAATACAATGACAAGTTCGTTCCTCTCCAGAACCGAATCAAGGCGTCTAGAAGAATTTCGACGTCAAACCCCCGACAATCATGTTCCGCTTCTGCCTCCCTATAAACTTGTTTACATCGTCCGCCCACCCTTCGGATTGTTCTTGCAATGAATTCATTGTATCCCCCATGAGATTCAGTTTCTCGGTTCTTTCGTTCAGCTGCCGCGTCAAATAATCACCCCAACCTTCCTGGGATGAGGATGAAGTGGAAGGATTGTTGTTTCTAGCAGCTCGCTGCTCCGCGGCAGCCGCCTCCATCATTCTCTTGCTAGGTGGTCTATTAGGTCCTCCTATCAGAAGATCGAGATCCAATGGCGATACGTGTTGTGTTCCACTAATCCACTGAAGGTTGGAAATCGTTGGGCGGGGAGGAATGCTAATCTCGGGGTTGATCAATCGATCTGGGGATTGTTGCAGTGGTTTTCCTGTACCCCACACGTGGATGACTGCCATCTCTGCAGGGCCTGCCCATGCGAAGATATCACCAGTCTGTGTGACAATGGTTCCTGTGCTGCGTGTACGATCAATCATTGGGAGCTTGGCACTGCCAAGATCCCGCATACCTGGGATACTATACGCCCTGGCACTTCCATCCCGGAAGGTAGCAACAATGGCATAGCCCTGCAGCTCAAGTTCTGCTACACAGGCCGAGTCACATAGGAAATCGCCAAATTCTTTGGAGGCGCCCTTCGAATGAGCAGGCCTGAGGATCCTTATTTCCTTCTCGGTCACTGTTCATGATTAGTTTACAGGCGGTATACAAATACGTCTCCGCATGCAAAGACAAACTAATTTAGAGACGCAAACACTTACCTGCAACGAGAACACCATTGACCTGACGCCCCTCTCGCAGCCCAGCCACGATTGGGCCCGTGGCTAGCGCCGGTTTACCGGTGTCAGCCTGAATCGGATTCAGGGCGACAACTTTTCCGTCGAATGCAACCATTCCGGCTACTTCGGCTGTGTAGGCCCCGCCCGCGGCAGGTAACAGCTTCATGGTGATGACTTTCCCCAGGTTGGTCCCAACAAAGCAGCATATCGAAGAGTATTTATCGTCGTCCAATGTCATAACACCAAACTCAATTACCACAGCGAACTCTTTCGGAGGTTGTGAGCTGGATTTGGAATGGCCCTTGAGAAACAATTTTCTATTTTCTGGCTTCGCAAAGTCCGTCATTGGAGCTTGAAAGATGATTTTAGGACCACGAAGGTCGATTATGGTCAGGAAACCGAGCTCCGACCCAATCGCCGCGAAGCCCACATTTGATATCTGAACAGCAGTGATCGGCCCTTGCATCATCTCATATAAGACAAACGGCTGTAGCCCTTCCTTTAGGTTCGGCTCTGCCCTAGAGCTGATGTCGGAGAGTCCCATTGGATTCGGATCCAGCGGCTTTGGCTGATTCTTTCCGTAATATGGGTTTGAGCCCCAGCGAAATACGACAGCCTCTCCGGTTTTCGTGCCCACGACAAACTCGCCGGTGGTGCTAGCCAAACTCATTGCGGTCACTTCGACGTCGTCGAAACGGTCCAAAGCCCGAGCTAAGTCGACCTGTAACTGGATTTCGTTTTCGATTTGATCAGCGTGCCCAGAGTCATATAGTCTAATGATGCTATCGGCATGCGCCGTCTGGATAATTGTGCGGTCTTCAAATCTCTTTCTTGGTCTCACTCCAGCTGCTCCACCCTTCAAGAGAGGTTCTCCTTGATCTCGTTTTTCCACCATAGACAGCCACCTAGGCCGGTCAACGCTGGAGACGTTGAATTTTGTGACAAAAGGATGTACGAAGAAGGTTGATGGATGGAGTTGATTGGTGGGGCTGATCGGATATCCAGAAGGAAAGCTGAGCGTAATCAGCTCGCCCGAAGATAATAGCACAATGACAGCAATGGGATCCTGTGAGCCACCAAAGTAGGGCGAGTCTCTTGGAATAAGCAGAAAGTCAACTGCTTGAGCTCCAGGTGGCAGGGCCAGTGGTATATGTCGTTTGCCTCGGAAATGGTTCTCTAAACCTTGCCATGTTGATGTGGCATACATAGGCGTCATGCCGAGCTCAATGAAAGTCAAACTCTTTGGAGACGCATCGGGAGCCTGGCCACCTGCAATCAACAAGCCAGTGTCGTCGCAGTTTCGTTTGCAGCACCAAGCGATCTTGATATATGGCTCGGAGTACGCTGGGGTCGGTGCACTCGGAGTGGCTTGTTGAATACCAAATTCAGTCAGTGTTCTCGCCATAACAACTTTTGCTTCTTTAGGATCCCAGAAAACCAGGCTTCCATCTTCATGGGCAGTGAGAACAAACGTGCCCGAGGGGTGCCACAGAGCATGGGTCAGACGAGGCCGGCGCACTGAATCCATGCCGATGCTACTTCCTCCCGGCGCCCCGACTGGAAGCACGTACTCGAGAAATTGTTGTGGCTGGTTCTGTTTGAATGTATAAATGACAGCGCCGTGGCTGTATCCGATAAGAAGCTTGCCGGCATCTCGGGGATGCATCGACATGGTGACCAGAGTGACTGTGTGCTGTATCGGATCCTTTGCTTTCCAGAAGTTGGGCAGTCGGAAAGATCGCGCGAGACCGCGTCGGTCTAGATCGTATGCCATGATATCTCCATTCTGCATTCCAATAAACGCCCAGTCAAGCATAGGATCCGTCACCATTGAGGTCACCGGGCCGCCAATGACCTGAGCGGCCAGGCGCTCTCCGGTATCGAGATCCCAAAGACCAAGCTCATTATTCCTATCGAGGCTGACGAGACGGTTTGCGCTGAATTGGATCGTCTGGAACGATGTTCGTCGCTGTGGGTCGAACGTCTTCTGCACGCGCTGCTGGCCAAAGACATAGATCCTTCCAGGGCCGAACTTGCTCTCGGCGGTTCCAATGGCGAGCAGGGACTGCACGGGATCGTACGCAAAGCAACTAGATGATTTGTCGCAAGTTAGAAGCTATCGCGCATAGTATCTTTCCAAAATTTCCTTCCATTTTTTCCCATTGCTTTTGCGACTGCCGCTCCCCTTGTTGTTGTAATTATCTCCATCGTTCGTTCTTCGCCCCGCCACCAGCGTGGTTGCGTCATAGCTAAATCGCTGCTTCACTCACCTTATCTGTGAGTTGAGGCCATATCGCGCGTGATCGTCGGGAGTAAAGAGTTCTGGTCGGATGCTGGCAGACAGGTCATTCTGGATGCCTGCCTGCTTGCCTCGCAGAAAGCCAGCCATGGCGCGCCGCAGCCGGTTGTTTGCGAGAGGTTGAAAGGGAGAGAATGTTGCAGCATTTCTCGGCTTTCACGCGCTGCTGCCACAAAGAGCTCGACTCACTAAGACCCGCCGATCCATAGCGGGGTAGGGGCTAAGCTCTGGTCAATTGGCGGGCGTCAACGTGCCGGAGCATGCCGGATATCAATCAAATTTTGGCAGCCCGTGATCAAGTTGCATGTAATCCATAGCATGCAATCTGCATTATTCCTCGCTTTCAATCATGCTTATGTTCGCCCGAGATATGTATGACAAGTTCAGCCATAGCGGCGATATCGACTTTCTTTTCTTTTTCTTTTTCAGTCTCTCCCGTGAAAGCCTCCTTAGTACTGCCCAACCCTCTGACGCCAAGCATGGCCCATGAAAAAAAAAAAAAACACAGCCCTCCTTGGCTACAACATCCTATCCAATCATTTAACAACATCTCCGTGTAATTGACTGCACCTATTACACCGTTCTTTCTTCCCAGTCACACATCCCTCGCCTCAAAGCCGTATCACGCTGCTATCAGCTTCTCTCCTATCCCTTACTATTCATCGTGGAAATCATTTCTACCTGCGTCGAATGTACATAGCTAGGTCATGATTAGCTGTAGGTCTCAAAGCACACATTATAATTTTGGCAAATAAAGCCAGTGAACGTCACAGGATTCTTTCAAACGGGAAATCTCAAGCAGGCACATGCAACTTCACAGCTTCTAAGTCAACTTGTGTCCATTGTCTAGACTATGTGAGCTTATTATGATAGCAAATAACCTCCACCGCCATCTCCCGCCAATCCGGTCGCCCCTTTTATTCATGTTTGATACTTGAATGTATCTCATGTTTGTGTGATAGCCGTCCAAAAAATATCTTTCCTTTCCTCTCATTACTGTAACCACTTCCTATCGATT